CCAACAACAAGGGCAAGCAGCAGACACAGGGCTTCACAAAAGCACACTGGCAACATAGAACACTGTCAGAAGGAACAAAGATCTCTTCTTGTTTGCTCGAATCAAGTCATGCTGCATATGAGGACAAGAGACTGGGGGAGGGTTAGACAGTACAATGGGTTAGTGCTCTAGGCATGACTATTTAGAAATTCAGGAAAGTCCAGAATTGCTAAGGGTAGATATTTGTTCCGTTCTTCATTCCGTTCTTCATTCTTCATTCCATTTGTCATTTGGTTTATCACGCTCCTCTGACCAGCACGACTGAAACAAACACTGGAGTCATCTGCAGAAACAAACCCAAGAAGGAGGTCTGCATTCCCTTGGCACGGTGTTGTTCACAGTCTGGAGTCTGACACACGTCTGCTTCATGCAGCAGTCAAGCCCAACCGTGCAGCATTGCTCAGCACATGCCTCTGACAATGCAGCCAGCACCTGGTCCTAACACAACCTCTTGGTACTGCAATCCCTTTTAATTTCTTCAAATCAGAAAAAACAATTATAATGTACATCTGCAGAGTCCATGAAAACACCTAGAATTGCTATTGGGAAAACTATAATTTTAATCAGTCTCTGAAGTGGTGTGAACAGTTGTATCTCTACATGTTTGTCCTGTGAAAGACACACCAGAGAGGCCATGTAACCCTGGTTGTGGCTATCCAGATCCCGTGGGGCCAAAGCCATCCATTCCCATCTGGGGCATTTCTTGCTGAGGACTTCTAAGCCAATTTGATGTCTCAATCTTCCTCTCCTCCTGATATTTGAGAAAGTGTCCTCTTTGTTGTATACTTGTTTGGTCTTTTTTTTTCCTTGGTATCTACTACTTGGAGACACAGACTTATACTATTTTAAATTGTTTCCATCTCTCTTCCTCATTTATGGGGTGTTTCAGATTGGATGGAGGTTTTATATGATTTGGTCTCCATTTTGAGTATATTTAAATTATTTTCCACTCCTGGTGCTATGCATTGATCAGTAATCACTGGGCAGAGATGTGTCTTGCTCAGTGCCTGAGTTCTCCACAATCAACTCTGTGTACCAGTCACTTCTGCACAACACTTTGCTCCATTCCAAATGCTTGTGCAGCAGAGACTCTGAAAGATACAGTTCCCAAAGCCACAGCAGAGAAACAATTCCAGTTTTGGCTCACTAATAACCCAATTGCACTGACCCTACCATACATTGTTAGCCTGTCAGAAACCCAGCACTTTCATGTGATAGCCTAATCAGTTAGATCTGCAACTGAACTCCAGACTGCAAATTTATAGCCAACAGCAACAACCGTATCATGGCTTTAAATCAACCTTTTGTGTGTGTGTGTATTATAACGTTATTATTAGTATTATTTTAAGGGAAAGCACTATGGAGCCAAAATCAGCATGTCCAATTAGCAAGAGGGACTACACATTAAGTTCAAAGAACCCTTTTGTGTTATCTGATTCTAATGGCACTGTAACAGAGCCTAATCTAACCTGTCATTTCAAGAGCTATAGGGAGAACAAATTGCCGGCAACAGGGGAAAGGTTTGGAACAGCATGCAGCCTGTCCTCTCCTGACATCCTACTCAGCAAATTCCTCACAGATTTCCTCCTGATGTCAGTAAAACTAACAGAAAGGTTATTTTATAAAATCTTGTGTGGATTGCTAACTTGTGAAAACTCAAGGACCCATGCCCAGAACAACAATACAGACTCAAGTAAATAATCATAGCATTTGTCCTTTGTGCTTAAAGCTTAACGAATGACTGAAATAGAGGAGAGGCCTGAAGAGTTCCCATGCCAAGTACCAATGCTGTGAGCACACATTGAAACAAGTAGCCAATAAATGTCAAAATCAAGGTGACTGATCCTATAAAGTCTTCTTGTTTGACTGGAAAGTGTTAGGAAAGGTTTCCAGTTTACTATGCAATATGATAAGAGGTGGGAAAAAAAGATTTAAATGCTAAAGTAATTATAAATCATACCAGCTATTTCTTCAGGGAACACAATCCCTTCAACAGATCAGGAATGCTGTAAGATATGGAGATGTGACAGCAGGAGGTCATTTGTTACCAGTGTTAGACTGGCAGTGTCCCCAGAATCAATTTTGGAATTCTGGTGAAACAACAGATAAGCACAGTTCTGTGATTTTGATATTTGCATATGGAAATAATGTCATGCAACTGCTCAGAAACTTTTCTCCTTTATCATGATGCCATCAGGAACACAGACGGATGTCCAAAATGATAACACTAAGCTGTCCTTTCCAGCACACAGTACTTCAGCCAAGATCATTGGTATGTTCTGGCTACTTCATGCTCCTCTAATTAAAACTCAGTCATCCTTACAGCTGCTTTATATTCCTAGAGCACTCCACAACAGCTGGATCATGCCGTTGATTTTGGCCCTTAAACTCCTTGGAAATTACTGTGTGAATATGAAAACTTTGGCCCTTTCTGTCACCATTTAAGCTTCTGTCACCTGCATCTCTGGCTTCAGCACATGACACCTTTGCATTTGGATAACATGCTGGAAAAGTATCAACATCGTAACAGAAGACAGAGTAAGTGTTAGCATTATATGGATTTTGGCAGGCTTTTACACAAAGAAAGGCTGTCAGGGGCAATGTCCCTGAGAGTGACAGACTGTCTGCCACACTTACTGTCATGTAAGACTTGCTGCAAAATAAATCTACGAGTTCAAAAGAAATTTTGCAAGAGGCCAAGTTTGATCTCCTTTAACGACAATCTAATTAGCCAGCTGATACAAAACATCAGGTCAGTTGGTTAAGCTGCTCTGTTACTGTTCTAATGAATCTTGAAAAAAGCCCATAGACTTGAATCTGTCCTGTGTGGGCCCATATTGATTTACAGTAAGTAAAAGCATGCTTTCAATATGTGTTCCTAATTTCTCTGTTAATGGGCTTATAAGCATATAGTCAAGTGCTCAGCCTTGAAATGGCTTCATGAATTGTTATTTCAGCTCCCACAGGGACAGATGGATCAAAGTGGCTGTCTTGAGTTACGATGTGACAGGGTGACACACACTTTTCATAAAGTCTAACATGTTCAGCTAAGTGCATCTGGTTGATTATGCCATGCTTCAGGTGGATGATGTGTCTCAACTAGTCATGAGTTAAATTTAAAAGTAACTGTGCACCTTCAGGTCTAGCAGTTGAGTCATTTTGCTACAGAGAAATCACTAACACAGCATGTTACTAAGCAGAATATACTGTAATATAATAATCTGTTTTCCACAGGAAAACATATAGAAGACAGTCTTCAAATATTTATTCTTAAAACATGTAGGATGTCCTAGAGCCATGAAGCCACTCACTGTAAGCCATAAAAAAATAGGTTTGGTTTCGAGATGAAAGTGGCTGGAGGCTGTGACCCACAGGGACTCAGAAGGAAACACTTACAAAATAGAGACAGATTGAATCCCAAGTGCTCTCTCCTGAGAGGAAGCATGGTTGGAAAGTTTAAAATGCATCAAAGTTAAACAAATTGAAAAGCCCTATCTGAGAGGAAACATAGTACAATGTTTATTTTTCCACTACAAACCTGAGACCTAAAAGATTTCCTGAGGTTCTCAGGTATTGTTCATGCTTATAATGGAGATCTGTTTTTAGAAAGTGTAATTCATGTGTTTAATCCAAACTGTTTGATGAAAAACACACTGCATAAGCATTCAGGAAGCTAAAGGCCATTGTATACCTGTATTACATATTGTTTGGATAGGAGCAGACCTACAATGCAAGGAATCTCTTTGTGAAACTCTCTCACTCAAAAACATTGGGTCTAATTCTCTCCCCATTTACGCTGCTGGATGAATTCCGCTGAATTAATGAAGATATGAGTAACCAGCAATAATAAATAGACAATCTTCCTAAAAAAAGAAGGCTAATTGTGAGCAGGAGATTTATAACACTGGCCTGAGTCAAATAAGTAGCAAGCCATAGCAGGCCAGTGTAATTTAGACAACCTAATTAGTCAATGTATTTTAGGTGAACTGTTGCTGTGAAATCCTTATCAGAAAAGCCTGTGGTGTTATGGATGTTGAGAAGTTTCTGTTTGACTAATGAACTGCAGACTAAATCCAGAGATTAATTTAACTGAGAGGAAATACTTGGAAGCAAGGGAATATTATTCATGAGATCTATTGATATAAAAATGTAGGGATACAGTAGGTCAAGTGACAGAGCTGAGGAACATTGGCTGTCATAGTCTAAGAGTGCAGTGTATGTCCTTGTGAGGACAGAGATGTGAGCATTCCATAACCATGACCTGACATTTTGGAGAAACCCTGAATCTTCTGGAAAGACTGTGTTGATCTTGCCCATGTGATTACTGATTTCATGACCTTGGTGCTCTTTTTTCAAATTTCTTTTCAGCTGCACTTACTGTCCAATAATGTTGTGCAGTATTTGCCACCTGATTTACCCTGCATTGCACATTTTGCTTGGTCACCTGAAATAAAATCATTGTTTCACTCAGGGAAACTAGGGTGACCTTTGTCATGCATTGTCACTCTACTCTCGTAGAGAATGTATACTCAAGGAATATGCTTTTCTAAAATTTAATTGCATTTCTGTTTCTCAAATAAACCCCTCATTAAAATATGATCTACTTATTAACCTGCTTTGTTTTGTAGTGTTGAATTGTGAATGATCAAAATGTCGACTGAAAAAAAAGAAAGACATGTTATTTCTCATTTTCCTGCATCACTTTTAAGTTCCATACATTTAACTTCACTCCAGCATCTTGGCTTGCTGAAAAAGATGGTTGCTCTTGCTTTAGGATGTCGTTTCTGCCACACACAGAGTTGTTAAAAGGGTTGAGCTTTCTACCACAGTCTCTTGAGCATGACAGTGTTTTTCAGCTTTTAGAAGATTGGTGTTCTTCCCAAAGGCAGTATTTCCACTGTGGCTTTTTTTTTGTAAGTAATTTTGTTTATAAATGCATCCTTATGTTTATTTCTTTCTAGGCAGGGATGAGATCCCGAAACCAAGGTGGAGAAAGCTCGTCTAATGGGCACTTCTCCAATTCCAAGCCTGTCATCAGCCATGCAGAGAATGAAAAACTTCAGGAGGATGCCAAGAAAAAGAACAAACCTCATCGGAAGGAAGATGAGGTCATGGTTTCAGCAACTGTCAAACGGCACTCAAAATCACCTGCACCTACTGAACGAAAGAACAAGAAGTCCATAGAGCTTTCTAAAGAGGACTTGATAAAACTACTCAGTATAATGGAAGGAGAATTGCAGGTAAATTAAACATCTTTTCAATCATATTATCTATGTACCTATTTATTTTTAGGTTGTTCAAAGAGCACAGGGCTCAACTGACAGGGACATGCAAATTCAAGGCAAAGGACAACAAGGAGAGAGCAGTGGTAGTTGGGGTTTAATGGGATAGTCATAGTTGTAAGTACTGCTTTATTTGCCATCTCTATATGCAGCTACCAAAGCAGAATAAATTATAAATACCTGTCAGAACTGACAGAAATGGGAATCTGCAGGACAGGCAGAAAATGACCACAGGGGAATCAGTAGTTGTGGGGATGGGGGGAAGGGGGGGGAGGGGGGAAGGGGGGAAGACAAGCAAATATAGTGAATGTAATTGCAATCATTAATGAAAATAGCCAAGAGACAAATCTGCAAGTCAGTAATACTGAAAATAGACTTAAGAAATCCCCTGGACCTTCTACATATTCAGATGTTGCTGAGGGTTCAGCCAATGCTCTGCCTGTCCTGTCTGGTGTCTGGTGTCCAGTGCTCTGCACATTCCTTGCCTTTCAACGATCCATTAGTTTTATTTCTTGGAGTAGTGCTCACTTGAAAGCCTTCTCAATTGCCCTGGTCTGCATGTTAATTCAGCCCAGTAGTAAGTCCTGGATGGCAGTCAGCCTGATTTTGTGCTTAACTTGTCCCCCAAATGTCTGTACAGTTTTGAGATCCTCTGTAATGCTAATAAGCCATTGAAGTCTCAATAGTGTCAGCCTTCAGGGAATTTCAAAATAAGGAGCTGAAACATGGTATTTTGAAAAGTCAATATGAAGACTTGTAGCTTTTCAGAACTTATCCCCCTTTTTGGTAGGACTGTTTGCCAAATTTATCCATTCTTTTGGTTGCGCTTTAGTGATCTTTTTCACTGAACCTATGGACAAGCAGAAAAAAACTCCCTGACCTGTGTGAAAACATTTTGTCTTAATCCCTATATTCTAGTCAACCACTACTACTTAGCATTTCAAATAAGGCTTTATTTTTTTCCCTGAAACCCACATTCATTACATTTTTATTTTAATTTTGAGCTTGTTACCATCTTATCTGATTAGAAGAAGCAAATGCTTTGTTAATTTCTTTGGTACATGAGTCACCTGAGTTGTGCTATTACCACAACTCTGAGATTCCTTCTCATTAAGTGTCATTAAGTATCACTTTTCCTGTACATAATTCAACCTCTAGTTTGTCAGAAAGTACTTTAAAGTTACAGGAAGTATGAATTCAAAATAAGAATTGTGTCAAAGACCAAGAATGGTCATTTAACAATAAAAACTGCAGGAGAAATAAAAAGAAAGAAAATCTGTTGAATGCAATTTTGCAAAGGACAAAAAAATTATCAGTACAGAACAGTAACCATTTTTATAGTGTTTCATTTTGCTTTATACAAGAACTTGTGCATGTCATTTCCTTAAAAATGGAGCTTCAGTGGGGAATGGAGTCAAACCTCAATAGAAATGTATCATGCTCATGTTGTTCAGATTTATCCTGAAGTCACCTTTGTGGTCTAGAAAGGGGAGGTGAAGAAAGTTGCTAATGTTTCCTGCATGGCAATAAATGTGGTCTTTGTTGTTTGAGTAATTCTCCTGTTGTTCACCATGGACTTCTACTTTGTGAGATAGTTACAAAACCATGTTCAGCTGTGTAATAACTGCCCATGTTCTCATTATCCCTATGGGGATTGTGGGGATAGCTGCACTGTGCAATATGGGCTGAAATTCCTCACCAAGATGATACTCCCATTGTTCTGGACAATACTTTTAGGGATATTCATTCATAGAGACAAACCCCACAGAGATGTTAGGTGCTGCTAATGCTTCTTGACAGGAGGATTGTGAGGATAACCATAGCCTGGGAGTTCATCTGTTCTTCTCCTCCTTGTGGCCAGGCAGGGAAGAGAAGCATTACTATTTTTAATCCATAGGAGTTTTTGATTTCATTTCAAAACTCCCCATTTTCGTTCTTTCCCTGGTACCTGTGTTGACCCATTTCTGAAGTGGGCAAGCTACAGCACTTTGGCTTGAGATGAGAGCCTGGCTTTAACACTATAAATGAAGATGAGCCAAGGAAGACTCCAGCCAAAGTAAATACTCTGGTATTACATCCTGGCTGTCACAGTGACCTAATGCACTGAGTCATTTCATGGCTTTTTATTTTCGGATCTGTTCGGACATCTCTGGTGTCTGGCTGGCACTTTGTTGGACTGGCAAATCAGACTGCGGGTTCGTTTCGAAGCCATTTCAGTACAGGCAAAACAAACATTCTGTAGGCATATGTATAAAGATTTTGGGTTGAGAATAACATCAGGCTGTACGTGGAGGGAGATTCATTATTTTCTGAAGGAAAAAACAGGATAAAATACCATGACTGTTTGCTCAGCAGCCATGAACAGCTTATGCCTGTACTACTGAATGCAGAGCGAGTCGACACTGCCTCCGAATCCCCAAACAGTGAGCTCAGACATGGGAAGTAATCTGTTCATGACAACCATGGGGTTAGCAGGGTAAACCAGCAATGCATCATGTGCTTAGTTCACTATCCACATCATCTAACAACATAGCAAACATAGTCCCGTGCCACATTGCTGTTGACATCAATTTTGAGCCCTTACTTTGGCACTTGACCTCCAAGCTCTTTATTTTGAAGACACACATGACATAAAATCATGGATACTTGCCCTAGCAATGACATTTATGCCTTTTTTTCTCGTTAGTTTTTTTCTTTATTTTAAATTTTAGATTATGATAACTCAGGTAACTTGCCTGTGCTTTAGCTTTTAGGGCCAAGTTGGACTCAGCTCTGTCTGTCATCAGATTTCCTGATTGGGCCCTGTGCATTTACTGAATATAGAGAAGGAAAGATTTTCATAACTGTCTGAGGCCACTGTAGCCTATGCTTTATTTTGTAAGAAAATAAAAGGGGAGAAGAAGTATACAGAAGCTGTGGTGATGAGAATATGTCCCAATATACATGGCAGGAGAGCTCTTAAGTACAACCTCTCTGAAGGAGAGTGGGAAACAAATGAACTGATGACAGGGATTGATTTTAAAGGCCTTAGAGCTCAGTGGAGTGCATTTTCTCCTGTGAGATCTCACTGCTTACATAAAACCCCAGTGATTACATGGTCTTTAAACTCATATCGAATATAGAGGGGCAAAAAATCAATGAAGGATTTCTTCCTACACCAGGAAAAAATATATCCAATTTTTAAATACTGCAGAGCTGATTTGAAAAGAGAACCTCAAATATGAGTAGAATAAATTGGACCATGAAGGCATGACATTAATTTGCCTGGTTGTTACAGTGATTTCAGTCAAACCCACATGTGAATATTATTAATTACAGAGCAGCACAGGCAGTGTGGATCTTTACAATGATGATATAATCCTATCTGTGGTTCACAGATTTTTGTCCAATGGCCTATGTATTTATCCTGGAAGGAACAGATTCCCTTTCTGTACACTTTCTGAGCAGCAGCCATTAATCTCCAGCAATACCAACACTGATTTTCAGCATTTCCTAATTGGGGGCCCAAAAGGAAATGTCGGAGCAGTTTTCATACATGTTTACCATTCACTCTTCTATTACATGTTTGAAAAACACCCCCTAATAATAAAAGTACATTTATGAAGACAGCCTCCCACTACAAAGCATTATTTCTTAGCCAGGTTCTGTGGCTATTGCTGGATAAAAATTTAACCTTGGAAGACAGTTTCCTTTATTTCACGCCAGTTTAAATAGGAGCTACGTCTCCCCTCAGGACATTTATTATAGTCAGTGTTTTACTGTTTCTTCAGTGCAGACATGGCATTCATCACCTGCAGCTCAGCCACCTGTTCCTGTAGAGGACCTTTGCATGCTTCAGGGCTCCACATTTAGCGTGGAGGAGCAGAGCTCCTCAGAGCTAGGCAGCCATGGGGCATGAAGGAATTACATGTTGTCAGATGGACATTTCCTCTATTGCAGACCTGAGGATGTGGATGGGCAATATGTGAAATGTGATGTCTTGGAGAACAGTATGTATAATATGCAAGTCATACATACAATAATCACAAGCCACAATTCTTGAAGAGTCTCCAGACTTCAGAGATCCAGAAAGGATGTCTGCCCTTGCCTGGAGAGCAGCAGTCAAAGCACCTCAGGGCAAGGTGTGCTCCTGCTCTGATCCAGGCTAGAAGCCAACACTTCTTGTCATGCCCAGTTTGATTTGATCTCTCTGATGAAGTTGCTAGTGAAAAGATCATTCCAGGATTAAGACTGCCAGTGTGGGGTTAGTAGGTTAATTGTATTTGTGCCACTGATTACCAAACTTCATGTTGCAGTGATAGTTTCATCAGCTGCAGAAGGGGCTGTTGTGGGGCAGGTATGGGGCTGGTTGATGGTTGAAGCTGGTCTGGTTGCTGATAGTAATCATGGCAGGAAGGAGCTCTCTCATCCAACAGAGCCAGGAGGATCTTACCTTCAGGTGGGATGCAAGACTTTCTTCTTGACCTGGGTGCATCAGGGAAGGGTTAGCAGAGGTGCATGAGGAATGTGTGTTTTGTTGTCTCTGGTAAGGTCCTTATGAAACACTTAGGTAGCAGTGGCTGCATTTCCTGGCACAAGGGAAATTCTCTTAACAAAGTCAATGAACAGGTACTCACATGGGTAAGTGATATACTACCTATTACATTCTAACACTTTTAAAGGGTATTTTAGTATTTTGGCCTTCCTATCGCTTGTCAGTCTTACTAATATACACAAAAGAGTTTGACTCTGCAACTGTAGTTGTGATGTTTTTCTCTGTCTCTTTTTCCTCTTGATGCAGTGTGTAAATTTTCATGTAATGCCTTGAACTACTTTTGTAGCAAACAACTTTCCCAAGGTATTGTAATAACATTGTGAGAGGCATCTGCCTGTTGCTTAGTTAAAAACACTGTACAAACGTCTATGTTTTTTCTTCAGTGCCATTTTTTATACTCTTCTATTAATATTATTAAATATTG